AGCAAGATGCATCCAAGAGCGTGCTTGTCCTCTAGTATGCATACAACTAGAATTTATCAATTTTATCTGTATAAATTATTTTAATAACCAGGATATTTTAAATTCAACAAGTAGTATTCAGGAATACACAGAAAAGTATTTGGCGTTTGAAAGTTATCTGTGCAAATATTTATTAGAACTATCTCCATTTACTCTTCATCAGTGCTGAAATCCTCTTCATCCTGCTGAAATGCTGAATTGTCCAATTCTTACTTAAACAACATATACATTGAAAGCTTCTTAAAAAAAAAAAAAATCAAAAAACCAAAAGACAAAAAAGCAACCCAGCCCCTCAAAACAAAAACCACCCCTAGACTCCATACTTTCCCCATAGTTATAACCAAAAGACCTCAGGATAAGAAAGGATAAACGGAAGCAGCTCTGGTAGTCTGACCCACAGTCAAGTGTCCTTTTCACTAAAGAGCATACAAAGCATAATGAATACTTTTGGCCCAAATCAACAAAATAGTTCAGAATGTACTTGAATCATTTTCTTGATTACAGTTATTTTCTTAAACCTAGCTTAATACTGTCAGGTTCGCTAGCAGTTTTTGAAACAGTTACTTCATTTTCTTTGAACTTACTGCTGTACTTCAGTTTTCAGTGCAATTTGGATCATAAGAAATGTCCTCTGTTTTAACAGCTATAATCTGAATCATTATCAATTAACCAGTCAAGCCACAAAATGCGGACTCCTTTATTTCCCCCATCATTGTAATTTCCATCTTAGAGGAGGATTTCAGTTAAACACGAGAGAGATTTCTGTAATACAAGATTATAGACTACTACAAGAACAACCACCAGTTTACAATTTTTAGTGCCTAGATAATTTTCAAAACTGCATGTCCGCATCTTCAAAACCAGAAAGTACCATAGAGAGAGAGAAGATCAACTAAGTAACAACAAAAAAAAAAAAGCTGTCACTGTCCACAGGAACCATGTCTAGTCACGTTTTCAGTCAGTCAGTCAGCTAGCTGAGGGTCATGTCATTATTTAGTTTCTGTAGAAAAAACACAAGTACAAAAATAGTATCAAAAAGCAACATACCTATTTTTATTTTAAAATATATATTATAAAACATAATTGTTACATCAGCATATAAATAAGGCTTTTGATATATTTAGAAGAATAAAATTAAAATTTTATATATGCTTCTCTAGCTTTTAAAGAAATACCTCTCTTTGATACAATTACTTTTTTTAAAACATTTTTGCACAGAAATAAATCATTATAAATATACTTGTTAAACTTCAGGATTTTAATAAAGTTTTAACTAAAAAAAAAAGAATGCAAATCAAATCAGTGATGCAGAAGTTTTTCAGGACAAGGATAATAAAAGACAACAATAACCAAGTATATCATGACAGAATAAATGTTTTTCAACTTAGTAAGTACCTAAATAATTATTTTAAAACACCACCATTTTCAGAAGGGGAAAAATGCAATGAATCCATTTGCTGTGGGTTAAAGCCAATCAGCAATGATTATCAAGAGCCACAGAATCCAGCCCTAGATATCTGTGTTTTGCATTTCTAATACAGTGCTAGTTAGAAGCTCTGCTTTCTAAGGACTACTAGAAAGCTTCATGAAAGAGTTTGGGGTGGGTTTGGGTTTTTTTTGTTTGTTTGTTTTTGAGGGAGGGTTTTTTGCAGGGGGGGAGGAGTATTAAAATAGAACTACTAGGTTGCAATGAAGAGATTAATTGGAATTCCACAATAAATTCTTCTGAAAGATACCAAATTCTTTCCTTCCTCTTCTATTTTTGAGTAATATAATTTACACAACAGGCATCGGACAACTGCAGTGAGATTCTCACGAAATACTCAAAGCAATGCAAAAACCTGAGTAGAGAGCACAAGCTGGTCAACACCAAGAACATTAAAGATAGCTTCTGCTTTTAGAAACTGCCTAAAGTAGACACTAGTTCTCTTCTCAAGCCTACACCCACTCAAAGCAAGATAGTTTAAAGTGACTATTTCAACCATTAGTACTTACTTAGCATAAAGGGGAGAACCTCACCCCCTCAAAAAAACCAACCTTACGTTAGAACTTAAAGTAGTTAAGAGAACCTTATTGGTCTGTATTTCCATCACTTCTCTGCTACTTTTAACAACTCATATAAAACAACTGAATTTTCATTGACTTGTAGGAGAGCCAGAGCCTGCAAAATTCATTGGATGGATTAGTTTAGAATATTAATACACATGTATTCAAATTCCCTTGATAAACAAAGGTTGTTGTAAGGTAATAGACTGTTCTTATGATCAGAAGTTTACATTGCAAGAGCATTATCAGTAGCATACCATTACCATAAAACATTTTTTAAAAAACAATTTTGTAAATTATATTTTAAAAAAAAAGATGATTTACAGAAGAAAAATATTATTGGGAAAAAACTTCAAAAAGTCAGATAAAAGCTGTGTTGGAATAATAAATATTTTATTTAAGTTGAATTAGTCAATTGAATTAAATTTATTTTCATATAGATTCTATTGAATTCACAGATCTTATGACAGATTTTAAATCAGAGAACCTTGCATAGAAAGGACAATTGCAGAAATCCAGTCACCTTGTTAGAGATAAAAAGCAAGCAATACAATAGGACTTTAGAATAGATTTTTTTTTTAAGACTTCCTTAAGTGAAAACTCTCAGAAATTTTAGCTAAGATTATTTCCTCCAGCCAAAATTCAGAAAGAACAAAAGTTAATATTCTGACATCTTAAAAATAAATTACTATTTCAGTAGTAGAGAGAATTCCATCCTCTTTCACATGCACAATTTAAAGCTTTAATTGAAAGCAAAATATAAGCCTCTGAACTACTGCAAAACTTGTCAGTCAGTCCAATGCACAGTCCCCAGTGGTAAGCTTGATTTAAATCAGCAAGCCCTTTTAAAAAGGAGCACAGATGGAATCTTTATTTTTATGTACCATTTCATTTGAATTTGAGAAACTGGCTAAAGGACAAAAAGAGAGCAAATAATTTTGTCTGTCTGTCCTATGAAGAGATAGATGCTAAGACAACACAACCTGCTAAAATACTCGGAATCAGGAACCTGATGTACAGGATGTAACAAGATTTAACACAGTAAATTTAGAAAGCTCTTCTACCTGTGTTACTGCACAGACACAGCAGATGAAAGGCTAATCAGAGGGGAAATACTCAGTAGTCATTTGCACCAGAATTACAAGTAATCTGCCCAAGACAGATTTACAGTGTCCATCTAAACTAAAACTAGTACTCTTTATTATTTGAAAATTTACAGAAATGCAATAACCTTGGAAAGGACAAAGAGCTCTACTGTAATTTTGCATGTGTAAAAAGATTATTCTTCAAACATGACCTTATTTCTCCAGTTTTCTAATCAGGTAAAATGGTACAACAGCAAAAGTATATGTTTTACCCTCACCTTATAAGGGAATTCAGGTTTCTAAATAGTCAATAATAGGTATATATTAGAATTTTCAACCATAATTTGAAACATAAAGTAAGTTTTAGCCTTTTGAAAATCCGATTTGGTGACCAACTGCACCTTTTGTCAGCTGGAGACCTTAAACAATCTTCTAAAAAAAAAAATCACTGTGGAAAAATATGTGTGTGTGTGTAGGTATGCACACGTGTGTGAATAAAAAAAATAAAAATCCGCTTCAGACTGACAATCAGAAGAGAACCTCACAGTCTACTCACTCTTATCTTTCTTAAAAACAAAGAAAGAAAAAGTAAGGATAAATCATGTTTCTAATTTTGTATGCATACCATACCTACACTTTTCTAGTAAAAGTAGTCAAGGAAGACCTGGTATTACATTTACACTTTACATCATAGTTTTTCCTGTAGCGACCAAGAGGCTGGCCTTTTATTATTGGAAGTCACATTAAAAACAAACAAAACCTTTGTACAAAGATAAGAGCATGGGTACAAGTTACTTAAAATTGCATTCACCAGAGCTGCTGATTAAAAAAAGTTTCAAATGAGTTTTAGCTTCAATTCAACACAGAGAAAGAACGGTAGAAATCCATTTTTTTAAAAAGCAAGTTGTGTATAAAGACTAAGGCCATCTTTAGTAACTGCTGCTTCTCAAAAGAACAACATGAAAGTCCTTATGAAAAAAGGAGGAAAAAAACACTGTGAGCAAAGTCTTTTTTGGTCTTTGCAACTTCTGGGTCACGAAGAGTATCTACAGAAAGAAAGGTACAAGGAGTGAAGCTTAGAAGTAAAATATTGATGTGAAGAGTCAGGATTTCATGTGATGTTTTCTGAATGAGTTAAAGCAAAACTGCATGTCCCCTATAAAGATAATATGGCTACTGAAATTATTTGGAAGCTACAGTAATATTTGGGAGTTATTTTGTAGAAAACAGGGCTTAGCCTTTCCTCCCCCAACTATATTTCTCTTTTGGTAATAGTCCTAATGTTAAGAAAAAATACAAATAAAAAAAAATTATATAAATTTGAATCAATGTTTTAAAAGAACAAGTGAATTTTGGTCCCTGAAGTCTATAAAACCTCTCTAGGAGCTCAGCCAGCATTCATAGGCCATAAGCATCAACTAATAAATCCTCAGACTAATTATCCTAAACATACACTTCAATCCCTCCACAACAGGCTCTACAATATTTTCTTCACTATCACACATTCCAGCTACTCGTGATTTCTGAGAATCCAGATGACACAAATATCCCAAACCTTTGGTTTCACCTGGCAACCTTCCCTGTCCTTTCCATGTCCTCTTTTTATTTACCCCTTCCCTTCTCTGCCCTTCAAGGGCTGAACTCTGCATCTTTATCCAATACCATTGTGAGGACATGTGTTTTTAATGAAAGAAAAGACACACACAAGCTGATCTCAGTTCCATTGTTTATTTTTGCATACTCTTTTCAATGTTAACTGATAGTCTTATGTACATAAATTTCTGTGAACATCCAGATTGATGTTAATCAGCTGGTTCATATTTGTTCAAAAATTATAAAAATAGATTTTTACTAAAATAAAGTGTATGTGTGCATATATAAGCATACACACACCCATATATACATATATGTATACACACACATATATGACAAATTAAATTTCAAGTTGTTAGCTAAAAACAGATTTAAAGTTTATCATTACTTGTTCATATCTAACTTAAAAATATTTGCCTATCACTATTTCAATTAGTTGAACTTCAGTTTAAGTAACAGCTCAGACTGGGTACTCACCTTGCTCAGTAAGTTCTCTGACGTTTGTTGGACTCTTCTGTAGGCGAGTCTGCCAACCTTACTTTAAGCCTGACACCATTCACAATCTTGCCATGTAACGCAGTTATGGCATCACTGGCACTTGCTCTGTCTGCAAATTTTGCATAGCCAACATTTTTTCCAGCCACAAGGTAAACTTTTATCAAGTGTCCAAAACGACTGGGGGGGGGGAGAAAAAAAAAAGATAATTTACAGGTCTTGCTGCAACATAGACACCTATTATCCAATCTGAGGTATATATGATTTGGTAGCTGCAAAAACTATATTCTCACATGTATGCTATCATTTCTCGTGCTGCCCTCTTCCAAAACTCCCAATTTTCATATTCCCTTCTCTAGGATTCCAGGCAGGAAGAGAAATAAAACTGAAAGTTCGGAGACAATGTTTTCTATGGAATATTACAATAGAACCACAAGCACCAGTGATTTATCTTTTATTTAAAGTAATACGTAACGCTAATCAATACCATAGTCCCCAAACACTAAATGGCACTCAAAAAAACCCCAAACAAACCAAAAAGAACACACACACAAACCAGCAGATAATTTAGAGGCTAAACTTGCATCTCACTTAGATGAACTTGCTCGCTTGTGATTCATCTTTGAGTTCTCCCTGAAATGACTCAGAAAGCAAGCACTAAGGCTTTGTGGAAAAAAAACCAAAACAGATTTCCAAGTCCTCAGGAGATTCCTAGACAGCTCCTTAAAAAAATGTTTAAAAAAAAAAGTCTCCTTGTTTCATACTGAAGTTACACAAGTGTCAAGGCTAGGGTGCATAGCCTTTCTCTTCTCCAGCATCTGATTAAGAAAATCCAGTATATCAAATACAAGTGGAATTTAAAACTGTACAAGTGCATATTGTTTCTCTTCCTCTCCTGGTACTTTGAAAATATTTTGGCTTTCCAAAGATTTATTGCAAATGCCAGCTATTAGAAAAGGGAAATGTCATCTTCTTCAAGAGTATACTAAAAATAAATATAAAATACTGGAGAGCAGCTGAACTATAGATTTGTTTTAAAGATGGCAAAAACTGTCTCTCAAGTCTTTGCTCCTCATAGGGAGGTAGTGTGAAAGGACAGTTGAAATGGTGTCAAAAAGATGCAAGCCACCAAAACGTCTCAGGATATACCAAGAAAAAAAACCTCCCTATACTTACTCCCCTAAAGTACTGTAGAAACGTATCAAAATACTTGAATTCCTTACAGAAATATGTACAACAAAATGCCAAATAAATTAGGCTGTAAGAATCAGTACTACATTTTTTGCTTAAAAAAATGTTACGAGACTAGACATTTTACTTCAGATTACATTAATCAATAACAAAGCTGCTGTACTGATGACATTGCATCTATGCTTCAAGGTGAATTCCATTACACACTTGTTTCAAAAAGCATCTGTTACCTATTGATCACTTATTGACCACTGTGCACTGTCTTTTCTGGAAAGAGGTTTCATTATGACAATCTTTTTTACTTTCAACATTTATTTTAAATATTTCGTCATTATTTTTTTTTGTTAGAGAACACTTATTTGTAAATGGAGTCTTACCAGAACACATCCTCCAATACATTTACAGGTAAAGGATGGGGATGGAAAAGTATGAAAAGCCTTTCCTTCACAGAAGTGTCAGGTGGAACTTTTTTTTTGTGTGGTGGAAGTATGGCATCTGTTTGGGGCTGAAGTAACTGTGAGCCAGAAGTTCCTCCAAATGCCTGCTGAAACAGGGGAAAAAAATGCAAGTATAAATTAAGTGGGGGGGGGGGAAGTTATTTTACCTTATTTACAATTTTGTTCCCATCACAGGGCATAAACAGCCTCTACCAGTTCTCTCCTTAATTTATTTGTTTACTTTGGTTATTTCATTAAATTGGACAGTAAATCCAAGTAAGGTCACACACCTTTACAGGGAATAAAAACGTACAAACCAACAAGAGACACATCTTAAAAATGTAGCATCTAACACAGTTACAAAAGAAAGTAAGCAGTGTTCTTTCTTGACTTATCTGAAGTTTCTTACAATTCTGAAGAATATTAACAGTATCCATTATATTAACTTACAGGAGGTGTCCTATACTGCTGAACAATGGCATTGTTATTCCGCAACACTGATGACACATGTGCTGTTACCAGCTGTGTTGCCATTTTTCTGATGAGGCTGCAACCAGAAGTGATAATAAACTATTTTAAAAAAACAGCTAAGTTACAGTAATCTTTAATTCAGCAAGAGAAAATAAGTTTTAATGCACATCTAAAAGTATCTCTGGAAATCTGTAAACTCGTATAGATAATGAAAATCAAGTCAGGCTTTCATGACACTCTAGGCATGATCTGAAAGCATGCATGCTAGCTGCAACTCACTGAAAACATACATTTTGACATATAGAGATACAAGACTCTTCTTCGCTTTTTTTAATACTCAGGGCTGAGGGAGGGAAATTAACTCTACAGAGACCCCTACATTTTGTGAAAAGTGCCTAAAAGGCAGAAGGGACAGCAAAATTTCACCTGTTTCAATAAAGAGCACAGAGATTCAATTCAGAAGTCAGAATATTATCACAGAAAGTTTACTTCCAGTTCCCATTTCCCAGTAATTTTTCTTTGTTCTGCTGCAGAATAAGAAAAAGCAATTGCACTTTTTGCATAGATTCACAACCCGTGTTGTAGGGCCATGAAATAGTAGGAATTATTGAAGAATGAAGGAAATCGTTTGCAAGGATGGTTGCAACGAATATTTTTTTTTTTAGTTTAGATCAGACATGCACTTCTGAAGTGAATCTCCCCATTGTCACTCCTTACCATCCTCATTCATATCCCAGAATAGGTTTGATATGAACTAGATTCCTTTAGGATGAAACTAAGCCAAAATATTCACTGCAGGAGCATACTTAAGTCATTCCAACTTGTAATGGGCATTCAAATCACAGAACAGATTAGAAATGGTTAAAGTAAAACCTGACAATCCCCGTACAGTGGGGATATCAGATCCTCAGCACCCAACAGTTTTACTCTACATATGTGCTTCACAAGGCTACTATTTACAGTACTGCAAACATAACCAAGAGATCAAGTAGATAAATCTGGTTTTAATACAAATACCTCATCAAAAACACATTCCAGCCTTGTTACATATGACAGAGACTGTTACAAAGATTCTTGCCAAATCCAAGATTTTGCAGTGTATCTTAAGAATATATATTTTAATCTTTTCTTTATCAAACACTACTAAGTTTCAAAAGGCTTATTCTAAACCATTAAAAAACCAAACAAACTAAATTTCAGAAAATACTGTATACAGGTACGAATGAAACAAGATCACGGTGACATTGCTGTTACTTCTAATGTTTAAAATTTATTTATTTTAAATTTTGCTCCCAAAACACAACTTACAACTTCCTATCTCTATGTATTGGTACTTACTCTGAGCTATCACTCCCATCTTCTAGGAAAATGACAGTTAATCGATTTCCAGGAGGATACTCAAAACCGTGTAATTTATACTTGGCATATATAGCTGACGCAGCAGTACTGTACTGAATCACAGCGTACCCTGCAAACACAGTGCACACAGTTTCAGTGTGATACAGGTAAATCCTAAGAATAAACTACACTTATAAAAGCAATATGATTAAACTGCACATTAGTCATGGATGACACAAAATTCTTGAGTCTTTTTACCACACATTACATTACTTAATAGCAACATCTGTAGTAGTTGTGAAGAAAACTTCAGCAGAATTAGCTAGTGACAGATCAGCTATATTTATGCTCACTTGAAAAGCTGGTAATAAAGCAACACAAGTGAAAACATGTCTTCTTCCCTAACCCTGAATTAGAAACAAAAACATAAACAGTTTCATTTTAAAATTCAATTATCCCATCAACAGTGAATCTCAAGTACTGTAAAGTTACATTTTAACGCTCTGAATCATTTCCCTTCCAAGCTTCTTGGAGAAGAGACCTCTTCCACATTTTTCTCAGCAACAGCAAAACAACAAAACTGAAACCAAAACAATCTTCCAAATACAAAACATGATTTGTTTTGGAATCATTTAATCCAGTTTACTCATGTCAGCTTCTACACAGAGACACACAAATAGAACACCCATTTCAAGATGAAAACTCAAAAGATCTGTTTAGAGAACATTTAAACTACACGTCTAATAATTTTTGAAACTTTTTCTCCATTTATTCTGCCCAAAACTATTAACTTAATTCGAACAAAAAACACTTCTCATGGTTTTGATTCTGTCCTTCTTGAGATTCTATTACCTGAAAAGAAAGGTATTTAAGGCTATGTGTAAACAGGGGTTCAAACAAAACTGAATTTGGGGGTTTATGCATCAATGACAGCAGCAACCACCGATCCATAAAACATTAATTCTTTCCAACAAGTGTACTGTATTTTGCAATGCAAATGAATTGTAGTACAATTAAAAGGCATTCCCTTCATAGAAAGAAAGAAAAAAAAAAAAAGCTCTTTTTGTACTTTTACTTACCACTATTGGTATGAGGATCTCGCTGAACATCACAATACTCCAGTCCTGGAACTAGATCAAAGAGGGCAAACAGCTGCTCTTGGATAAAGGGAAGCCGTGATACCACTGACAGACGTTTGGAGACTGACTCTTGAATTCTGGTCTCATTTTTTTCAAAACTACAAAACTCCGGCTGCCCACCTCAAGAATCAACATAAAATAAATAATTCAAGTCATCACACTAGCATACCTTCATCTCATTTATATTTTTCATTCAACTTTTAAAAGCAATCTAAGTCAATTATATACTAGATGTAACGTGTTTATTTCACCAATGCAGGTCATGAAATAACCGGCCAACTAGAGCAAAGCAAGCCATAAAAATACAGAAATTAAATGCCTGGCTCATTTCTAACTCCAACATTCAATCTACTACTTAAGTGTTGACCTAAGCCTCCATTAGCTTCCCTTCTTCCAAACTGCATTCTTACTTTGTGACCATACTCAAGACTACAAATCATTCTTAGTATAAAAAGCTGTGACTTACAAAATGGAAGTGTATTTCCTCTTGGTTCTTGCCTCGTGTTATTACTATAATAATCATGTTCAAAAGACTCAGATGACTTATTTTTAGGTTCAGCCAAAATAGCCCTGTAGCCTGAAAGAAACAACCACACATATAGCAACACCTCAACACATCTGAATTATCTGACTGGATCCACTTTCTCCAAGTATCATATTTAGAAACATGTTATTCAGAAAACCCAGAAAGTGTTGGCCTTAGGAAAATAACTAATCTACAGCTCTTGAAGCCTGCCATAATAACTGCATGAAAGTTAACAACTTCCACATAGAACTACTCCTAGTCATGAGTTAAGCACAACAGAGCCTACTTGCTGTGAGAGTGACTGAGCACTGACACAGGTTGCCCAGAGAGGCTGTGGAGTCTCCACCCTTGGAGATATTCAAAACCCCTCTGGACATGGTCCCGGACAACCACAGTGCCCAGGTGACCCTGCCTGAGCAGAGGGGCTGGGCAAGACGACCTCCAGAGGTCCATTCCAACTTCGACCATTCTGCGATATTTGGCAGGATTCACAGACGCTCCAGAGGCAATTGCCTGAACCTCCACGCTATAACAGCAGTTTATGCGTATTTCGCACTGATCTAGGTTTTGCTTTTATGAAAGAAGTAGGTATTACTCTCAGGCTATCCAACTAATTTCATTTTAACCTCACCACAAAAAGGCAATAAATTTTAACTGCTAAGTAATCTCAGCCTCACATTCCTACGCAAGAATAGTCACAAATACAATTTTTGTAGAATCACTTATGATAGATATGATGCAGAACCACCACATACATTACTGGAGGAAAAAAAAACAACCAACAACACAAAAGAACAAAAAAAAAAAAACCAAAACACAACCACACCCACACACCAAGTTGTTTCATATTTGTGTTTAAGCAAACATTGAACAGGAGGTTAGACTAGAAGGCTGCTGTTAGGTTTCCCCAAAAGCCTTTCTTCTGCTGGATGAGCAAGCCCAGTTCCTTCCATCTCTCCTCACAAGTCATGTGCTTCAGCCCCTGACCACCTTGGTGCCCTTCCACTAGACTCGCTCAAATTCATTAACACCTTTTTGGTACTAGAGCATAAATGACAAATAGTTGGTCTTGGTCATAAAGCATACAAAGTCTTTCATTCTGTAACAGATTAATCATGACATTAAATGAAAACAAACAAACAAAACACGAAACTTCAGTTAGGATGAATTTGTTCTTAAATAAATGTAATCACAACAGAATCCCTATGGATTATCAAATATATTTTTATATATAAATTCATTTTATATCAAATACATTTGATGAAAAATGCATATTCCCAGGGATACACAGGCAAATCTCATTTTAATGTATGAACCCTACATTACAGGCCAATAATAATGCATGAACAAAAACTCCATATCCATTTCCAAACTCTTTTCACTGATCTTACATGCAGTTTGGTCCTGCAAAAATGTAATCAGGTGACTGTTCTCAATGAATGTTAATAATAATATTTTTTATTTGCAATAGAACTTTGTCTCAAGATGTGTTTACATTATAAATAATTTGCCTGCAAACAAAACTAAAAATTAAAGGTACATTAATGATGATATACGCTTATTGTGAAAAACTTGAAATAATTCAGTCAGATTCTTACTTCGATCACACTCTTCAATTGCTCGGGCAGCTTGCGATGGTTTTAAATACCTCACATAGCCCAAACCTTTACTTTCTCCAGTAGTCTTGTTTTTAATAATGCTGCAATATTCAATGTCTCCATACATCTAGAACAATTAAAAAGCATATTAATTTACAATATTTGAAAATACATTAAAGTTCCATGCGTTACGCCCTTCTGATAAATTAAGACAAAGGCAATTTAAAATAACAATTAACAGTTAGTGAATCAGTACCTTAAACTTCTCTCGCAGATCTTCCTCTGTATAGGACTTCGGTATCATAACAAAGATTCGTGTGAGCTCCTCATCTTCAACATCTCGGTGGCTTCCAGAAGCTCTTGACTGTGCAATAAATACCTAGTGAAATAATTACATAGACATTAATTACTGGAGAACATGTCTTAACCACATATCAACAAGCAAGAAAAATAGTTTAACAAGTCTTTGTATTTATCTTTCACATAAGCTAGCTTTCCTAATATGGAAAAACAGAACATATCTGATCATAGATGCATCTGACAAAAGACCTGCAACTACAATACACCCCAAATGGTTTCCCAAACAGGACAGAAGCCAGCAGAAGTTCTCACTGGGGATAATGAAGAATGGACAGGAATATCGAAGCCTGATTCAGCAGCACTGCCTATGTCATAGGTGGCATATGAGTTAGCAAAAAAATGCAGTACTGCAACAGTCTTAGTATAGCAGCAGTAACAAAAAATAAGCAAGCAAACAAACAAAAAAGCATAGCAGCTTATTAAAACCTTGCTACTGCAGTTCACTGTTCAGCAGGGCCAGAGTCTGCAGGTCTAATGCTCTATGAAGGATTGCAACTTCTCACATCTGTAACTGTTAAAATCCTTTTTAATTATTGAAATTAATTTCGTCTCAGAAGTGCATACCAGAAGACAACCAGGCAAAGAAAACGACAGAAAACAAACAAAAAAGCCCAAAACAACCAAATAAGAAAAATACAAACAACCTTCAAAGTAAGCCTCTTATGCAACAGCAGCAACTGATTTCACAGAGCTCTTAAATTATTTTCCTAATAGTCATGCAGGAGAGTAAGCAATACAACTCTGATCTTTTGCCTTCTAATGGCAAGTTCTTCAGAAAAGATTTTACTGACTCAGCTGCATTTTCAAATGAAACACGTGGAATCTTCTTTCACTGTTCAAAGTCATTCATATCATTCTTAGTACTTGGGGAACATGAAGACAATTCAAGAGGCTGAAAGCTGCCAGCCAGTTCCATAGATAAAAAACCCACATAGTTGTTTTGAAAAAACTGTATGCAAGCTACAAAACCAATATAAAACATACTTGCAAAGACAGTTCTACTTATTCACGTCGATCTTCCTTACAACACTTAAAACACACTGGTTTAGACTATTTCACAGAGACCCCCTCAACGTTAAAAAACCAAACAGGCGAACACCCCCCCCCCTAGTTTCCAGGCACTGCGTTTTCCCCAGGCCTGCTGCAGCTCACACCACGCGTGGGCACTTCGGGCACGGGTGGGACCCACTGCAGCTCCCCCTGAAGAGCACGGCCGAGCCTGCAAGCCCCGCCGCCGAAACCGCCCCGGGCCTGACCCAGAGGGGTGACAACATCAGCACCGGCACTACCTGCGGGGAGAAGGCCGCGAGGAGCGGGTCCGACGCTCTCCCTGGCGGCTCGCTGCCCGCCGCCCGGCGAGGCGGCCAGCTCGCCGGGGGTCCTCCAGGGCTGC